TTTTCTATCCATACATTTTTTTTTTATTAGGATTAAACTGAATAATTAAAGCAAACTGTATCACTGATGCCGATGGGCAGCTGCCTCTCCATGTTTGCGCTCATAATCTTATTCTACCCCTTTAATGTGAGGATAAATGCCCATCTGATCCTGAACAACTGTGTCCACATGTGTTTTCTGCATGCAGAAACCTGAGAATCTGCAGACGTTGTTTGCGTCAGCTGTTGGTCCTGCTGTAAGACGACAGAGCTGATGTGTGTGCGTGCAAAAGAAGGGAAGTGTGCCTCCCCAACAGGTGGCCCTCAGGGTTTACTTGAATGGAGGGTTTCTTCACAGAAGAGCCTCGACAAAAGAGGCCTGTGTAAACTCGCTGCCTGTGCTGTAACCTAAACTAAGGGGCCTGTCGCTGTTCGGCACAGCTGCCGTCTGCCGCTCATTTACGGGTTAGCGACAGCTCCATTCACTCACATTTATGTACAGTTCGGCTGATACATAATAGGCACAGAGTAAAAAAAAAAAAAAAACACTTGAAATTAGAGATCAAGGTCAGAAATGCAAAGAGCCTGCCAGAGTGTCCACCAGTCAGTGGCACACTTTTTACAACCTGGGTCAGTGAGCTGCCAAATATTTGTTCCAGCTGTCCATGTGGCCTTACTGATAACCAGGCTGTGGCCTGCAGACTGTGTTAACTCTGTACTCTAGTAGATAACTTAAACAAGAAATACATTACCTTTTTATCCCCTGGTTACTATAGATCTCTAAATTCAGTTCTAACTTTATTTAATGACTTCAAAATGACATCAAGAAACAAATGAAGTTGTGTAAACTGAGATATGTTCATTATGAGTGTTTTGTGTCTTTTCTATTCAGTTTAACTGTAAACAGTTCAGCAGATAAACCAAATCTTCCAGTTGCACCAGTTCTTGCTATAAAAAATGTCAATGTTATAAGAAATATGCTATTTTTTCTAGTTTAAAATTGAAACATAAAAAAATTACCTCAGCCTACAAATGGGGGGACTAAGAATGCTGCCAGATGCATTTGATGAATGTGTTTTTACGGTACATGTATGGATCTGTTGAAACTTTTTTTTATTTTAAATCAAAAGAACCAGAGTTCCTAGTAAACTTTGAGAGTCTCCTCAGCACTAACTCTCTAGGCTTTCAAAGTAGCTCCTGTTGCACCTTTTTCAGGTATTTCCAGTCTATCACCTGCCTATTTTCAGATATCTTCGCCTGTAAAAAAAAAAAAAAATGTATCTCCTTTATGATCGATCAGTCAGTCTGATATGGAAAGTCTTCAAAGGAAAAACAAAAATGATTTTTTTTTTTAATCTATGAAAGAATAAGTTTCATACTGGATTTTCAGGCACTGTGCTTTTTTTCAAAATATGTCAAAAACCCCAAACAAAAACACCCCACCATAATAAAATGAAGGAAAGAACAAACAGTTCTGCATTAAAAGGGGGATTTCTTGTATGATGTCATTATTCAGCGTATAAGTTGGATTGAGTTTTAGAAAATTACCAGAAATTGGGCTACTTAGATGATAAATTAATCAGGTTTTACCAACAGGAAGACCCTCGAAATGACATTTGAATATACAACCATTTTTGACCGAGTAACTGAAGTGCTTCTTTTTATGTAAACATATTTTATCTTCTGCTTGACCTTGGTATCTTTTCCCTCACACCTATACAACGTATAGGTTCTGAATAATTAAGGTTTAATTAATCACACTCAGCATAGCATACCTTCCTTTAAACAAAGCAGAGGTTTAAAACTTTTGAGTAATATTGCACACCAATAAAAAATCATCCAGACTCCTTCAGTGTTCGTATTTTACTACCTCAAATGGACATTTTTATTACTACAGCTTCTATTCTAAAACTGACTGCAGGTTTGAATTTCTTTCAACCACGATGGAGTCCTGATGTTAGTTGTCTGCTTCTCACAGGGTCCCATCGCTCCTGCATCTCTCTTAGACTCTCCTCTCACACCCGGTGCACCCTGTCCCCCTCCTCCCCCTGGACCTCCTCCGGTCTTCACTGAGGATCCCTGCCAGACTCAGGCAGACGGTGCAACGCCTCAGCACTCAGCTTTGTTTGCTCAACTCAACCAGGGCATGGATATCACTAAAGGTGAAATGTTCACTCATAATAGTGTTTGATTTTAATGTTTTTTTTTATGGAAAACCTATTCTTCATAAATCGTTAAGCACTAAATGTGGCTCTTCCAAGGCTGTTGCTTCTTCCTGTTGTTTATGAATCTGTTTTTTTGCGGCAGTTTTTCCTTCCACTTAACTTTCTATTATATCCTTTGACATTGCTCTCTATAAACAGACAAACTGTTCCATGAGGACCTTTTTTTTTTTTTTTTAGCTTTTCTCCCTTATCAAGGTTATAAAAACCTGCCTACTGGACAAGACAACAGTCAGGCTACTGATCTTCCTCATAATTGAGTTGGTCATAATTTGCAACAACCAAACATTTATGTATTATTTATTTGTCTGGCATAACATTCAAAGTGTTTGAGATACTTAGTTACCAAAAAATAAATAGATATTACCCTGTAAATCAAATTTACCGTTTTTCAAATTATGCTGTTTGAACACAACAACTGAAATAAGTGTAATCTTTATTGGTATTCTAATTTACTGAGATGTGCATGCACATGTTTAGGTCTAAAGCATGTCTCAGATGAGCAGAAGACTCATAAGAACCCCAACCTCCGTTCTCAAGCATCACCAGGGAAAAACAAGGACCCCAAGCCTGTGAGCTCTGTAAAAGCAGCTGCACAGAAAAGACCCCCTCTGCTGGAGCTGGAAGGAAAAAAGTGGAGAGTGGTATGCAATGCATTTTAATCCTTATTGCCCCAATTTACCATGTTTATCAAAGCACACTTTAAATATACTTCTTCTTTGATGAAGGAAAACTTTGAGCAGAAACACGACTTGGTGATCGATGAGACGGAGTTGAAACAGGTGGTGTACGTATTTGGCTGCAGCAACTCCACCCTGCAGATCAAGGGCAAAATTAACTCCATTATCGTAGGTGAGCCGCCCAGACACAGAGCCCTAATTATACACCTCTATGAAAATTTTCCACAGCTTGGTTTGTTCTGTGTTTCCTCAGATAATTGCAAAAAGCTTGGTTTGGTCTTTGAGAATGCTGTAGGAATTGTAGAGATCATCAACTCCAGAGCCATTCAGCTACAGGTAGGTTTATCTACAGTATATATACCTAATCTGAACTATTACGCTGGTTCTCACATAGGCCAGTTATCGATTATTTAGAATTCCTTAATATTTTAATTAAAATATTAAAAAATAAAATGTTTTCTAGTCTTTTTTATCAACTCAATTTTATAAAGCCCTTTTAAAATACCACAGCTGCCACAAAGTACAGTACTGTACATATCAGGTAAAGTTAAAATTTTATAAAATCAACATAGAAGTTTAAAGGAATAAAAAAATATATAATAAAATCAAGTAATTAAAACAAATAAAAAAACAATTAAAAAAAACGCAAAAATAGAAAAAGTTTCATGCTGTATTAAAAGCCAAATAAGAAAAATAGGTTTTAAGACAACTTTTAAAAATAGACAGTGACAAGGGTCAAGATATATCGAGAAATGTACAATTAATTTAGCTTCCTATTTAACTGAAAGAGCAGAAGAATTATATTACTGAATGTGATTGGTACAGAAATAACTTTGTGTTAAGATCAACCAATCAGTTTTTAGTCAAATGTTATGGCACACTGCAAAAACTGAAATAATTTTTACATTTTAAAGTTGAGTTTCTAAATATATGTTAATAATACTAAAACAATATGAGCAATAATATAAATCTTAACTACCGTAACTAAATAGACATATACATGATATTGTGTTTTTTTTTGACTGTTATACGGCATAATAGTGTTGTTTCTTAGTATTTTAACATGAGTCAGTGGTCTGCCAGATGATTTCATACTCTGATGGTGTATCTCTGCAGGTGTTGGGAACGGTTCCCACCATTTCTATCAACAAGACAGAGGGCTGCCAAGTCTACCTGAGTAAAGCGGCTCTGAACTGCGACATCGTTAGTGCCAAGAGCTCCGAGATGAACATCCTGATCCCAGTAGGAGAAGATGACTATGTGAGTGAGAGAACAGGAGGCAGGCTCCAGACTCTGAGATAAACATCACATGGAGGTGAAATTACATTTGGCTGGTGCACTAACGGGAACCTTCCTGATTTTCTTTTCTTTGCAGAAGGAGTTTCCCGTCCCAGAGCAGTTCAAGACAGTTTGGGATGGCTCCAAGCTGGTGACAGAACCCACTGAGATCGCAGGCTGATCTGCAGCTCAGGAATCTCTTGCAAAAGCATTCAAACCTCTTTACCTTTTTTTTTAACTTCTGCAACAAATGACGACATTTTATTGCAGTTTCATGTATAGATAAAAAAGTAAAAAAAAAAAAAATTGAACTCTTAAAATGATACGCTTTGCAAAACCTTCACTAATATGTTGGGTATCTAGGTATCCCCTTTGACTCATACTCATGCATAAAATTTAGCACTAGTAATTACTTTCAGATACAGCCTAACATGTTAAAAAACAAGTAAATCTGTTTGATTTAAAGGGTATGAATACAACAAATACGACACTGATAAGGAGTTATTTTAAAGCAGGACTGAAACATGGCAATGGGAGCTGTAGGGATGATTTTCTTCAGCAGGTACAGAGAAGCTGGTGAAGATTTATAAAAAGGTGGATGAAGCTAAAAGGTAGAGTTCCCTTTCTTTTCCCTAGCAACACTAAACTTACATCAGATCTACAGTCTAATAGCTTTTAACAGAGCATGTTTGAATGTTTACATGACCCAGTTTAAATCCAGACGTAAAACTTGGATGAAAATTTGCAGCAAGGCAAAAACACACTCAGGATTTTTGCTTATAAAAAGATAAAACATGCATAAATTTTATGGAACAATTGGGCTTAACTATTTGTGTTGGTCTCTTACATAATTCCAACATAGTATATTGAAGTTTGCAGTTTCCACAGAATGTGGAAAAGGTGTGAAAAGTAAAAGGGATGCAATAGATAAGGACATCATCATTTAGTGTTTGATACCTTTAATCTGTTAAAACAATTGCTCAGGTTACAGTATGATAGTTACATACCTGTGCCATAACAAGAGTGACATTTCAATTCTAAAAAAAAAAGTATCTGCTCTTTACATCATAAAAAAAAAATTTATTCAAAACATTTCTATTAACAAGTAAAGGATCAATTAGTCATATATTCTTATCTAATACATTAAAGCTGATTTCTATTTGTATTAAGAGATGCTTTTTGCATTTAGCTGCTGTGAACAGTAACAGAATTAAGTTCAGCTGGTTGTGCTGCTTTACTCTCAAAATCAAATGCTCAAAAAGTAAACTTTTCTGTAGAGGAACTAAGAACTTTTTATGTTTATCACTTTAGTTTGTGAAAATAAAATATAACTTAGAGCACCAGGTAGAAATATATACGTGTAACTAGTGGTTATTTTAGAATAAATCAATGTAATGCTAATCACTTTTTAAACAAAATAAAATAAAATCCATCAATTCTGACTTGGAAAGTTTTGTTGTTTTTTTTCAATAAAAGGAATGATGTTTCAACCTCCTGGTTTGAACACAGAGGCATTGCTTCAGTGTTTGATCACCATGTTTCCCTGAGAGTCTTGGGTGAAGAGCATTTCATCCTCTTCGTCCTCCTCCTCCTTCTTCATCAAAGGCTTGGAAGCATAGCTCCTAACCAAGCCGGTGCCCAGGTTACTCTGATCCTTGAGTGGACTCCTGGTCTGGAGACCTCGATGTGCTATCACCCTGAAGCCCTCCGAGTCCTGAGTGAACAACGAAGCCAAACTCTCTTCATCTGCTTCCCTGAATTTAAGCATTTTCTTAAGAGGAGAGCTTCTTGGTTTTCTCCACAATGAGTCAAAATGTGCGTCTTTTACACGATTGTTTCCTGACTGCTCAGGTTGTTTTTGTGGTGACGCGTTTTTCTCTTCTGCCCGCTTATGATTTGACAGAGTTCCAAAATGAGACAAAGTTTGTTTACTTGGGGACTTAAGGGAGAGTAACCTGCTGTTTTCTTTCTCCTCTTTAATGCGGAAACTGTTTTCAGCAGGTTTCTGAGTTGATGTTTTTCCCTCCACATCTATTAGATTTCCAAAGTGTTCTGAATTCTGAACACCTAGAAAACTTGACCCAGAGCAGACGTATTCCTCGCTGCAGGTTAGCAGAGGGTCCTGACTCCATGGCTGCAGAGACGTCTGATTATCATAAGACGACACCTCTTGGAGTCTCCTCTTGCACTGAGGCGGTTTGCCCTCTACAGAATCACTTTTTAATAAAGCTGAAGATGTGTTTCTTTCATTCTGCCAAGTTGTTGATTCTGTCTGTGCAACATTTTCATTTTCCAAATCCCAGCACACACCAGCATCACACTCCTCTGAGTCCGTATTGTCAAAGCAGATTTCCCGCGTTCGTTTCCTCACAGATGAAACAGTTGAGGGTTCAGTTGCGATGGACACTGGCGGGGGCGGAAATGAATCCGGGTTTGATGCTTCAGTGGAAGATGGCTTATGGAGAACTTTTGGAAGAAATTATTATGTAAACAAGTTAAAAGTGAGGCCATGTATCACAATGCAGCTTCAACACATTTATACATATTTTTCTATGGGTTTTCTACACATTTCTTATTAACAATTATCAAGTTTTACAAACACAAATTCCAGAATCCACCTATTTTTGCCATTTAAAATGAAATAATTTTACTTCACAATGAATCTATTATTGATTTTTCCAACCAGTTCGGTTTTGTGTGGATAGAAGCGGTTTGAATAAAAAGAGACAAATTCACAGATACACAATTAAATACATAATTATGGGGATACAAATATTTCAAAATTATGCCTTCTTTTTCAACAATTATATCTCAATCTAACTGCATTTATTTTTCCAGACTTTGAATTGCAGAAGATTTAAATAGGAACTTTCAGGGATGTCAAAAACAAAAAGGCACTTAGTCTTTGAAATAAAACCATTTTGTAAAGTAGCTATTACAATTTTTGATGTAGGTCTATCAAACATAAGAATCGTGACATGGAAAACACCACTTGCAATATTTTTTTCATTACAACTTTATTTGGGTAACAAATGCACCTTTTAAGAAGTAGCTGGCTGCTTACCTCTTTGCTTAGACGAGAAAAAAGTTGATATGGTGCTCTGTTTAGTCTTTGGCATCTCCATTTTGGTTTGAGTGAAGTTTAGCGCTACAGCTAAACTGTAACCCCCTCCTTCAGCCAGAGGATTCAGCAGTTTAGAGATAGGACGGGGAGGGTGTTTCTGAAAAATAAAAAGATTTATCAATAAAAAAACAGTAAGAGAGGAAACCAAGGTAAGGATTACATTTCTGTAGAAAACATCTATTATCATCATCACCTGTTTAACCTTTGCTTTCAGCTGCACAGTGTCCAACCAAACTCCACATTCTGCCTGTGGTGAGCTCTGTGGTGCTGCCTTAGAGGTTTTCATGATGGAAAAAATATCTGCAAAACATTCAGGAAGGATTGTTAAAGATAGGCTCTGTGTATGCACCCTGATGCTCTATCTCTCCGGTTATTTTCCCTGAAAAAGAGATCACTCAGGAAAAACTCTTTAAATAACAGGAGACATGACAACATATTTTGATAGAAATTGTAATCTTACTCAGATCAGAGAAATCGCTTTGGTTTAGAGAATGGCAGCTGCTCAGCTCTGGGCCCACCTCTCAGGAAGTGGCCCCCATGACCCTATCAGGATTCCGTACCTTTGGCAGGATTTTTGCGACAACGCGCTGCTCTTTAACGTTACAGCTGCAAGACTACAGGCAGGGTCGTTTGGTGCATGGCGCGTGTTTTGAAGCTGCTCTGCTTGTGGAGAAATGTCCTGGGCCGTGAGTAGTGAGGAAACAGGAAGCGATTCTTGTGGGATGGAAGAGGGAAATAGTGACAATGAAGGTTGGAAGATAGCAGCATCAAAAAATGAGAAAAAGCGGAAAAAACAGAGATCAGTTAAAGGGGAATCTAGTTCAGAACAATCCAGTGATGATCAATCCATACATTCCACAGCACAACAAAATGAATTCAAAGTCATATTCAAAGTCGTTAATCAGGCAGACTCTTTTACAAACTGGAATCCGGTTCACTTAACAAAAACCATCAATAAACTTGTTGGAGAAGTCAGAGGTGCCAGAATTCTGTACAGTGGAGACCTGCTAATTAACTGCAGAGACAGCGCCCAGCAAGGCAAAGCAATACGTATTAACAAAATTGACGGGATAAGAGTTCAGTGCAGCCTAATGGAGAACAAAAAGATCAGCAGGGGAGTCATTGGAGGAGTTCCTCTGAAAATTTCTGAAAAAGAGATTCTGGAAAACATAAGCGGTGCAAAAGTAAAAGAAGTAAAACGGTTAAAAACAACAAGAAACGGAGAAAGATCTGACAGTTTATCTGTACTAATTAAATTCGAGGAAGAGCAATTACCAAGCAAAGTATTCATCGGTTACATCAGTTACAATGTCAAAATCTACAATCCACCACCATTGAGATGTTTCAAATGTCAAAAATTCGGACACATTGCAGCAGTTTGTAAAGGGAAACAGAGGTGTGGAAGGTGTGCAGGAGAACATGAATATGGTAAATGTGGAAAAGAAGCTAAAATAAAATGCTGTAATTGTGGTGGAGAACATACTGCTGCTTATCGCGGCTGTGAAGCAAGCAAAAGGTCTGAAGAAATAAAAAAAATGAAATTTGAGCTTGGAATAACTTATGCTGAAGCTGCAAAAAGGATCCCATCTCAGTCAGAAAAACCCAAACCTACAGTTCAACACACAGCAAATTCCAAACCTCTAGAGAAATCTCTAAAAATTGATGAAGACTCACTAATTGTTAAAAAGACAAATTTTGTTCTTTTCATGGTGGAAGTGATTAATTGTACTGCTCAGACGACAAAAAAAACAGAAAAAATCAAAATAATAGTGAAGGCTGCAGAAAAATATCTGGATGTTAAAGATATGAACTGGGAGATGGTTGGAAGCATGATGGAAAGACCAATGGGACCATCAGAAACTGGCAGAGGTACGATGACCTAGAGTAAATTAAAATTATACGGGCAAATGTAATTTAGTATAATTTAGTATTATGTGGGTTTAAGTTACACAGGTTATTTTATTGTATTTTTTTTTTTTTTTTTTTTTTTTTTTTTTTGGGGGGGGTGAATCGTTTCCTGTTTCCTTGCTTTACTCCATATCAGTTGGTGGCGGTAATGCACATTTCACAAGTTTGCCAACCGCCATAAAATCTCATAAGAAGAAGAAGAAGAAGAAGGAAGTGGCCCCGATTAACAGTTAAAAAGGCATTTTATACATCTCCAGTCTGCCACATCATCAAATTTTACATCATACACATTAGCAGATAATTATTACAGCAATAATGATCCTAACAGGATTCACGTTTACCTTTTGGGGGCCATGGTTATAGTCATATTTCCGCTGCTTTATATAGTTTAATACTTCAGTCAGTCAATCAGTTAGACTTTATTTACAGAGAAACAAGAAATAAAAAAATATATATTACTATTCATATTGTTAAAATAATTTTATTTAAAAAAATAAAATAACTAATGTTTTATTAAAGCTTGCTTGTGCTTTCTTCTTGTTTGAAAACAAAGAAAACTACAATAAAATGCTATATAATATTGAGAAACCAGGGAAACGCTCTAAAAAAAATGAAGATACAGATAGGGATATACAAAGAAAAACATTTTGCATTCAAAAAACACTTTTAATACATTGAATCATGAGGTACATAATTTAATTAAAAAATACAAAATTATCACAGATTATAATGGACTATAAAATGATGCAAAACGTGATTAAAACAATCGAATAAGCAAAAAGGACGTCTATTGCATGTGTAGTATGATAAAAAAAAGAATGAATTACTTTAAATGAAAATAATAAAATGAGGATAGAAATAACACCGCTATCGCTATTCAAATGCCACTCTACATTATTTTCTCTAAAAACGTTCTATACATAAACAAGAGGAAAAAACATTTTCTTAAAATGACAGCTTTCAGACATCCTCGCATTAGAGTCGCATCTTGATGTTTAACCTCATCCCAAATGTTTATATCCCTTCAGAACCGTTACCTAAAGTTGAGGAAACCTCATTTCTTAAATAAACTGAACAATAAATTATTCAACTTACCCAACTTTGATAATGAAGAGAGGTATTTTTGCTCAATCGCTTCAGTTTTGTTTCTGCCGCCTTAACGGTAAGCTGTCCGTGCCGTTTGCCTGTTTAAAAGCACAGCTAATTTAAAACTCGCCCAAAAAAGTGTTTTTCTTCGTATATAAATGTGTGAAATTAAATAAAATAATGAATATCATTTAAAGTTTAGATATAAAATACATACTTCTAGAGATTTTCTTACAGGCGCGATGGCCACCAATTACTTTGACGTAAGCCAGTCCTCGCCTCGGGGTGTGTTTACATCGATAGCATTTTACTAAACCGGTGAGTGAAGTTAGTATATTTTTGTCTTTATTAAGCTTTTTATTTGGTATAAACACATATTTCGAAGTTGAAATGTTTTTTTTTAACCATCATACGCGTTTTTATATGCTGTTTGATGATTAAAAGCAGTTAAGTCTCGGAGCTAGAGCTCACAAGTACATTAAGGAAGTGCTAACGAGTTAGCTTCGACTGTTTCGACGTCTAAATTAAATGTCGTTTTGTACAAAATAGATCACAAACATTAGGATAATACTTCTGTTTTATAAAGAAACAATTATATAGTTATGTCGTTTCCAGGGAATGCATTTGTCATGCTAAGATCGGTACATTTCTCTACAGTTTTTCGCCAGGCCAAGATTTGAAGATACATCCGATGAAAACCTAAAAAAAACATATTAATATAACGTTTCATAACAACTGTTATGGGTCGCTCCGTTTGTAACAAACAAACGAATGTTACAAAGACTAAAAACACATGGACACAAATTCCCTATATTTTATTATAAATCACTCATTGGTTGATAACACGGTTGAAATAGGTCAATTTTTCTAGCCAGATTTATTTCTTTATGTAGTAAGGCTTTAAAGTTTGGTTGCCAAGCCCTGTAGATAATTAATTTATTTATATAATACAGTCAAGAATCACATTGACAAAATAATTTACCTTGGTAAAATATATTACCAAAGTAAATAACACATAATATGTCATGATTTATTTTGTGTGTTAATTGACTAAAGGCTGTTCTAAAGTCGTACTTAAACTTATGGTAATCCCAGAAAATGTTTTGTTTACTTCCATTGCTTGTTGTTTAGTCTTAATAATTGGTAGGGGATTTGTTATTAACCTTATTGGAGATTGGAGTATATAATAGACGTATAGAAATAAAAAGAGAAACGTGATTTCCTAAAATGAGGGGTGTTATTTGTTTTGTGTGTAGATTGTTCAGTTTTCAACAGTTGACTAAAATTTTCTTTTAAACAACCATAAATACTAAACCTTTTGAATAAAAAAAAAAGCTGCATACAATTTATTGATTATCATTGTTTTATGTTACAATGTGAAATACAAAATATTTTTTTCAGGCCAACGTTTGATACATCGACATCATGTTTCACGGAATAGCAGGCAGCGGAGGCGTGGGGGCAGGTGAGATATAGTTCAATTAAATTTTTAATGATTTAATCAGGAATAATAAATCTGTATTTTCATTTGTAATATTTTACTCAACTTCATCAATTTTCTCTACACAGCACCAGCTAATAAACCTGAGTTGTACGAGGTAAGTTAGTTAGATTATTGCGTAAATGTGAAAGAAAAACCTTAAGAACCTGTTTTGTTTTAATGTTTTCACTTAAATTTATGAGCTTAAGACAATTTGTTTTTGTAAAGAAAAATTTGTCGTTGCAATAATAAATCGTTGACTTAACCTCTTATATTTCAGGAAGTCAAACTTTACAAAAATGCACGGGAACGAGAAAAGTAGGTGTCCCTTTAATTCAAAGTTGTTGAAGATAAGGTAAACAGATCATCTCTGTAACATTTTATCTGTGACATGTCTTAAGGTATGACAACATGGCAGAGTTGTTTGCCGTTGTAAAGACCTTGCAGGCATTGGAAAAGGCTTACATCAAAGACTGTGTATCCCCCAATGAGTAAGACACTCCACTCAAGCTTAACACATTTATCTTTCTCTACATCTGTATGTGTTGGTAATCTTGGGATTTTGATTTAGGTACACAGCTGCATGCTCCAGACTCTTGGTTCAGTATAAAGCTGCTTTCAAACAGGTCCAAGGCTCTGATGTGGGGTCCATTGATGAATTTTGCAGGAAATACAGAGTAAGTAGACGTCTTTGATTATTTTTGACTCCTTTTTAACTGTTACTTGATTTAGAAGTTTTCCAACTTAGATTTAACTCTAATTGTAATTTATTGATTTAGCTCGACTGCCCTCTTGCAATGGAGAGGATTAAGGAGGATCGGCCAATTACCATCAAAGACGACAAGGGCAACCAGAACCGTTGTATCGCAGATATAGTTTCTGTATGTCTTTAGCATGATCAATGTATCGGATTTTCGGACATTTCCCTAGTAATTTATTTGTTATTGTCTGTCTCCTTTAACTGTTCTATCATCTTTTAAACTTAGCTCTTCATCACTGTTATGGACAAGCTGAGACTTGAGATCAGAGCCATGGATGAGGTACTTCTGACTTAATATACTCATACCTACATGCTATGAGACGTTCAAAAGTGGAAATTAGTTTACTGTGGTTATTTATCTTGCTACAGATCCAACCAGACCTGAGAGAGCTGATGGAAACCATGAATAGGATGAGCAACATGCCTCCAGACTCAGAGGCTAAGGACAAAGTGAATCTCTGGTAAGGTTCAGTGAGGATTATTGATACAGCCATTGGCTCCTATGGCAGTTAACGGTCATCTGTCAATCAAATTTTCTCGGTCATAGCATCTTGATTCATATGTTACACCTAATATACGCAACGGTTGAAGTAGGAAATAAAAATCAATTCACTTTACCATAGAGTTACCTCCCCAGTGTTCACGGGGATGGACGTCTGTGTCTTCGGCAGGCGTAGAGCTAACAGAACTGGCAGCGTTGCGAGGCAAGGGCTCAAACGTGTATGGCTGTAAGCCTTCTACACCAAACCAAGCTTCTGCCACCCCGGCGTCCTCTTCCACAACATGTTCGTCCCCGCTTTCCTCCTCTAAATAAAAAATGTATGGCGGAGGAGACTCATCCACGACCTCCGACACAAAACTTTCCTCTTGCATGTTTTCGCTGTCCATAGCATTCCTTGACAGTGACGTTGCTTAGTGCTACTTGGTCCCAATGGAAATTCCCACCGGGAACCTTCTAGCACAAAGTTGCTAACTGGTCAGCAAGGTGCTTCCGAGACACCGGCCACAACAAAACTTGCTTGCGAACCTCATGTAAAGTCAGGCATCATTCGCGAGAAATCGGAACTACAACCGTTGGAACAGCCTCTTCCCTATGACTTTAATGAAGTATTTTGAATCAACTTTTATTGTTAAATGTTTTACATGTGTAACAAAGAAATTGATAAGAAAATGTTGTACATATAGGCTCAAATATGTAAATACACTTCCTTTCATATTTGATTAAAATTTTCCGAGCAAATTTACAAGAAACCACACATTTTTCTGGCATTAACAGGCTTCCAGCATGTTCTTGGTGGCTCTTTTGACAACTTCTCTTATGAAAATTGGCAGAAATAACTTAGGACAGTTGTCTTAATAGAAAAGATATATAATTGGTCATGTTTGCATGAAAAAATCCTTCAAATAAGTCAGTAACTATGTGTGTGAACTCCTGACTGATACAGTAATTTCTATTTCTGTAAAATGTCTTGTTTTTTTAATGCATAACAAACTAGAGTGAATCGTTATGTTTTTGCTCATAATAAAGGTTTATTTTTGAATGGAGGAAGGACAGCATAAAGTGGTTGTTTTCTCTTTTACTGTCTCTCAGGTTGTCCACTCTCAGCGGTATGTCTGCCTCAGATGAGCTGGATGATAATCAGGTTCGGCAGATGCTCTTCGATTTGGAGTCGGCCTACAACGCCTTCAACCGATTCCTCCACTCCTCCTAAAACTTTTATCTGTCATAGATCTTAATTTTTAGATCTCTGGATAAGTTGAAAATAGAACGCTACTTTTCCCTGCAGGGAGTGAATAAATAGAATGATAGTTTTTCACCCACTCTGTTACCCCCTTCTTTAGGTCTACTTTCTGTTATTTTGTTAGGTTTGGATCTTTGGGATCCTCCTGCCTTGTAATGCTCCCTGATAGTGGTACATCATGCTGCCTTCTGTATCTTTCTGGCTCTGCATTTTGACCATAGCAGAGCAGTTTACAGATTTGGCAAAGCATTAACAAAGAACTGTTTTGAAAAATTTCAGCAGCCCAATACCATATAATAAGAGTATCTGTATTGTGTTTGAATACTTTTGGGTTTGTTCTGTTTGCCATTTTCATCTCATATACATATATTTTTTCATGTCAGGGCCCTCTAAAAGCATCTGCAGACTAAAAGTATTAGTCTCAGGCTGCTTCTCCTGAATCGTATCACTTCTCCAAAAAAATAATATACTATTTGTTGATTATTTAACTTCTCGTGTATTTAACTTTAGGGGGGACTTAATTATTTGATCTTTAATGTTTGTCTTACTGTAACATGTCTAATCCACATTTTATTTTGAAAGTTTTCTCACAATATAGGTTGACATCTCTGTGGAAAAACACATGTTGCTTTATAAAACATTGCAACCTTGACAACAGCATCAAGGAAAACATGTTTATGAAGATGTATCATTGTACTGTATATAGTAGTGTTGATTTTTAAATAAAAGCACCTTTGTAAAAATAAATTTAAAGTGATTCATTTTTTTATGCTGTAATGTCAATAGATGTGTTTAGAGGTTCATGGGAATATTTTACAAGTTTTTTATGACGTGAATAATGACATCACGGTGTGGAGATTACAATCATCTTGGACATCTTAAATTGAAGTACCAGTACAGTTTAAATTCTAATGAGTGCATACGCTTTAGGCATGAATCTGGCTTTCCATTTCCAGGATGCTATAAATAATCAATTTAATGTAAGCGTCTTAAATCACTTTGCATAATTCCTCCCAGATATGGAAAAAGAGAAATATTGATGTTGTTGAACAGGCCCAAATTTTAGGCATACACCATAAAAACAATTGGTATTAATGAAAGTTGGGATCATTTTTTA